TGGACATAGTGTATCTCGATTTCAGGAAGGCATTCAACAAGGTCCCCCATGACCTTCTCGCAAACAAAGTATTCAAATGTGGGCTAGGCAAAACTACAGTTAGGTGGATTTGTAATTGGTTAAGTAAACAAACCCAAAGGATGCTCACCAGTGCTTCTTCTTCTTCATCCTGGAAAGAAGTGACGAGTGGAGTGTCATAAGCAGGATTCCGTCCTGGGCCCGGTCCTGTTCAACGTCTTTATTGACAACTTAGATGAAGGGTTAGAAGGCACGATCACCAAATTTGCAGACAACACCAAATTTGCATACTCTAGAAGACAGGGGTGGATTTCAAAATGATATTGACAGATTAGAGAGATGATTGGCCAAAACTAACAAAATGAAGTTCAACAGTGACAAATACTAGATTCTCCACTTAGACAGAAAAAATGAAATGCAAAGAGACAGAATGGGGGATAATGCCTGGCTTGACAGCAAGACATGTGAAAAAGATCTTTGAGTCCTCATGGACAACAAGTTAAACATGAGCCAAAAATGTGATGCAGCAGCTAAAAATGCCAATGGAATTTTGGCCTGCATCAATAGGAGTCTAGTGCCTAGATCCAGGGAAGTCATGCTACCCCTCTATTCTGCCTTGGTCAGGCCACACTTGGAATCACACTGTGTCCCATTCTGGGCACTGCAATTTAAGGAAGATGTTGAAAAGCTGGAATGTATCCAGAGAATGGCAACTAAAATGTTCAAGGGCCTGGAAAACAAGCCCTATGAGGAGCGTCTAAAGAGCTGGGCATGTTTACCCTTCAGCAGAGATGGCTGAGAGGAAACATGATGAGGGCCATATATCAAGATGCGAGGGAAAGTCCTAAGGAGGAGGGAGCAAGCTTGTTTTCCGCTGCCCTAGAGACTAGGACGCAGAACAGTGGCTTCAGACTACAGGAAAGGAAGGAGATTCCACCTGACTATTAGAAAGAACTTCCTAACTGTGAGAGCTGTTCAGCAGTGGAACTCTACCCTGGAGTGTGGTCGAGGCACCTTCTTTGGAGGCTTTTAAACAGAGGCTAGTTTACCATCTGTCGGGGGTGCTTTGAATGTGATTTTCCTGCTTCTTGACAGAATGGAGTTGGACTGGATGGCCCATGAGGTCTCTTCAAACTCAGTAATTCTATGATTCTAACACAGAAGTGTAGAAGGGAGACATTCCCATGCTAAACATCTGGAGCTTTTGTCTTGATAATGGTTTGTCTGTCTGTCTGTCTGTCTGTCTGTCTGTCTGTCTGTCTATCTATCTATCTATCTATCTATCTATCTATCTATCTATATAATAAAAGTCAGTGTTTGTATGCGGAGGGAGGACGGGAGGTGTATGTGGCAGCATTCTGATTGGCTGCCACTGTGGCACAATTTGCATATGGTCTCTGATTGGCCACCCTCAACATTCCAACACTCTTAGGTGACAGAGAAAGGAGCGGTAAAGGCCTGAGGCTGTGGCAGCTACCTGATAGGTTGCCACTGTGGAACAATTTGCATATCCTAATGCAATGACAGATCAAGGCCGAACTTGGCACAGAGAGTCCCCGTGGCTAACTCAACATTCTGGTGTGGTTAGGGGGAGGACGGACTATGGATAATGGGACTTGCAGTACCTTCACTCACTTTCTGAGACCACTGAGACTGATCAAGACCAACTTGGCACACAGAGCCCCCATGACCCCCTTTACATCCTGGTGAGATTTGGGGGAGGATGGGCAAAGGATGATGGGATCTGTAGTACTTGCAAACTCTTTGGTTCCCACAGACCACTGTGGCCCCTAACAAATACTGATAAAGACCAAACTTGGCACAGAGAACCCCCATGACCCACTCTACATCCTACTACAGTTTGGAGGAGGGCGGACCATGGATGATGGGACTTGAAGTACCTCCACTCATTTCCCAAGACCACTGAGACCCTCATCCAATGACTGATCAAGACCAAACTTGGCACACAGAACCCCCATGACCCCCTTTACATCCTGGTGAGGTTTGGGGGAGGATGGATGATGGGATTTGTAGTACTTTCCAACCCTTCAGTTCCCACAGACCACTGTGGCCCCCAAGAAAGACCGATAAAGACCAAACTTGGCGCACACAGCCCCCATGACCCACTCTACATCCTACTACAGTTTGGAGGGTGGACCATGGATGATGGGACTTGAAGTACATCCCAAGACAGCTGTGACCCTCATCCAATGACTGATCAAGACCAAACTTGGCACACATAACCCCCATGACCCACTCTCCATCCTGGTGCAGTTTGGAGAAGGATGGACCGCAGATGATGGGACTCGCAGTACCTTCACTAACTTCCTGAGACCACTGCAAGCCATATAAATAACTGATAAAGACCAACCTTGATACACAATTCCTTTCACAAATAACCCGGGCAGCGGCAGGTCCCCAAGCTAGTGTATATAATAAAAGTCAGTGTTTGTATGCGGAGGGAGGACAGTGTATGTGGCAGCTTTCTGATTGGCTGCCACTTTCACAGGCCATTGTGATCAGCATGGGTGACGGACCTGGACCAAACTTGGCACACATAACCCCCATGACCCCCTTTACGTCCTAGTGCAGCTTGGGGGAGGATGGACAAAGGATGATGGGATTTGAAGTACTTTCAAACCCATCAGTTCCCACAGACCACTGTGGCCCCCATCAAAGATGGATAAAGACCAAACTTGGCACACAGAGCCCCCATGATCCACTCTACATCCTACTGCAATTTGGAGGAGGGCAGACCATGGATGATGGGAGTTGAAATACCTCCACTCACTTACCGAGACCGCTACAGGCCTCATCCAATGACTGATCAAGATCAAACTTGGCACACATAACCCGCATGACTCCCTTTATGTCCTGGTGAGGTTTGAGGAAGGACTGACAATGGATAATGGGATTTGTAGTACTTTCAAACCCTTCAGTTCCCACAGACCACTGCGGCCCCCAACAAAAACCAATAAAAACTAAACTTGGCACACAGAGCCCCCATGGCCTACTCTACTTCCTACTGAAGTTTGGAGGAGGGCAGACCATGGATGATGGGACTTGAAGTACCTCCACTCACTTCACTAGACTGCTGAAACCCTCATCCAATGACTGATCAATACCAAACTTGGCACACAGAGCCCCCATGACCCACTCTACATCCTGGTGCAGTTTGGAGGAGGATGGACCACAGATGATGGGACTTGAAGTACCTTCACTCACTTCCTGTGATCACAGCGACACTCATCCAATTACCAATAAAGAACAAACATGGCACAGAGAGCCCCCATGGTCAACTCAACATTTTGGTGTAGTTTGGGGGAGGATGGACTAGGGATGATGGGACTTGAAGTACCTTCATTCACTTTCTGAGACCACTGTGACCCTCATACAATGACTGATCAATACCAAACTTGGCACACAGAGCCCCCATGAGCCATTCTACTTCCTGGTACTGTTTGGAGGAGGATGGACCATGGACGATGGGACTTGCAGTACCTTCATTAACTTCCTGAGACCACCGTGAGCCACATAAATAACTGATAAAGAATAACCTTGGCACACAATGCCTTTCTCAAATAACCCGTGCACTGCCGGGTCCCCAAGCTAGTTACATATAAAAGTCAAAGTATGTATGTATCTACGAAGGCTCCTTTGTGACTTAATCGATCTGGATCAAACATTTTTTTTATTTATTTATTTATTTATTATTCAAACTTATATGCCGCCACTCCCCTGGGGCTCGGAAGAACATGCTAAAATTTAACACAATTTAAAACAATTTAAAAACAATTTAAAAACAACAATATCAAAGATCAAAGGCCTGTCGAAACAGATAAAGCCCTGTTGAAACATGGGACGCATATCTTTCACTATTCAACTATTAAAATCATTGAGGGGTTTGAACTAGAAAATCCACGCCTTTTGAGTCCAGAGCAAAGGGAAGAAAAGGTTCAAAGTGCATTGGCTGCGGCTAGGTGAAGTGGCCCTCTGTGTTGTCACTGAGAAGAAAAGGGAGTGAAGCAGATTGGCTATTGCTAGGTGACATGTGTATGAGGAGAATGGAGGAAGGGAGGGAAGGGAAGGGAAAGGTAGAAGGGGAGGAAAAAAAGAGAAAGAAGGGAAGAACGAATGAAGGGAAGGGAAAGAAGGAAGAAAAGGAATGGAAAAGAAGGGAGAAGGTATATGGGGAAGGCATGGGAAAAGGGAAGGAAGAAAAAAGAGAGGAAGATGTATGTGGGAAATTGAGAAAGGAAAGAAAAAGCCACAAAGAGAGCCTACCTACCATTGCCAGAGTATTGGCATGGATACATTGTGACATAGGCCTTTTCAGAGCTAGAGAGGTGAGAAAGCAGGTGGGCATTGTCCCCTGCAATACCTGGGCAACACCGGTATATACATTAGCTAGTGTGAAATCATTAAAAGGCTCAGGAAAGCAAAGCATTGTTGTTGTTGTTGTTATATGTATTTATATCCCTAGAAGTAGAAAGGCATCTAAATTCAGGGTGCTCTGAATAATACCGTGGAAGGTTCAGGGCCAAGCATGATGTGATACCATGTATATAGTTCTAAATAAAAGATGGATTAGGATTATGTAGGATCAGTTGTCTTTTTCACACTATACATTCACAGTTCTTTGATGCCCCTTTAACCTTCATGACTCCATCCTATGAGGAAGTCAGGATTCTCTGCCAGAGATCTCTTCATGCCTCCCCAAGCTATAAATCCCAGGATTATATGGACGCAGAGCTGACAGGGTGAAATCAAAGTTCTCGAATTGTGCAGTCACCACAATGGTATAGTTTTGTACTGCATTTTTGCATCCCAAGAGCATGGCTTGGTCTCAGTCTACATCTGTGGATGGTGAGAGCATCTGTTATGCGTTCTGAGTCACTTGGTACCATAGTGACTTTTTCACATGTCGTCGAGGTCAGTGCCAAGGCAGGATGATTAATTGTCGTCTTTGTTTACCCCTGCAGAAAATCGATGCCAAATCTCTCATCAAGCTGAACTTTGCTAAAAACAGTGATGGTGAGTTGGCACTTTGCATTTCTTGACGTCTCATTTTTATCCGTTAAAACAAAAACAATTAAAATGTGTCAATGCCGTGAAAAGATACTGCACAGAATAAGACAGCTGCACACACCATTGACAGTATGACTTACATAATTGAAAGCTGAAAGTAGAAATTCAAGTTGCCCCTAAAAAGAGGACAGAGCTGTAAAAGAGCAGAAAGGTGTTTTGGTTGCTCTCTTTTCCACCAGGCTGGTCAACCTTTGCATTGCTCTGGAATGTAATGTGCAGCAGCAAAAAGTGCACTCTTTTTAATTTGGCAAAAAAGGTGCGCGTTACAGTTGCTGCCTGCTTAGAATTCCTTCTTTAAAAGCAAAAGTGTTTGGACACCAAAGCTTCCAGCAATGGAAGAGAATCACCATCAGGACTCTCAGTACTCAAACAACTAACTATTCATTCCACACTACCTTCCCTGGTTGAGCCGAGCTGTGCAGGTGGGTGCCGGCCTGTTCTCCACGGATCCAAGAAGCTGGGCTCCTATGGTTTGAACTGACTGCCCTTGATAGACTGTCATTTGGACTTACTCCTAGGAGGCATTAATGTCTGAACTGCGGAACTATTCTAGCACTAAGTCACTTTAGCCTGAGCACTTTATAGTTCTTCCTTAATCCGCCAGAACCCGTGTTGTTAGCTGGCCCCAATCCATCAAATGTGTGATAAGTTGCTGCTACTCCTGCACTTTAAACAAATGTTCTGAGATTCTGTACTATCACTTAGATACTCAGACATATTGTGAACTATCAGCACTTTATTCTCTATGTGAACATATTGTGAACTATCAGCACTTTATTCTCTATGTCACCACTTATGCTACTCTTGCTGCTATTGACATTCTATCAGCTATTAATTGTGTTACCTTCCCCTTCCATTACTGTACAAGTGCACCTTACAATCTCTGGTATACTGGAAGGAACAGGAAGCATAAAGGGGTGGGAATGCAGGGATCCAGCTACAAGTAACAACAACAATGATCATTACCAAATACCAACAACTGGAACAACAATTGAGGAAAGAGGAGGGAGCTTCCCCGGGGGGGGGGTGGTTTCATGGGTGGGGGGTCCGCCATAGAGGTGGTGACAGGTAGAGGAAGATACGGGAAAGGGAGAACAATACATTCATTTTGGCCCAAAATTCACAAGAAGAAATTGGCAACCTCTAAATATACTAATGACTCAAGACAAAAGCAAATTCTGCCCAAAATTTATAGTAGAACATTGACAATTCCGAAAATCACTCGCAGTACAACCCAACAATCCATTCGGCTTGAAATTAACAAGGATATATTGGCAATCCCAAAACATTCTCCTGACAAGGTACAGCTGAGGTGCCAGGATGGTGGTCCCTCCAGGTTAAAAGTGGTGCTGTTCAGTGCCAGGTCGGTAAATGGGAAAACCTCCATCATTCAAGATCTAATCCAGGAGGAACAAGCAGACCTGGCTTGCGTAACAGAGACCTGGCTAGATGAGGGAGGAGGGGTGAATCTCTCCCAACTCTGTCCGCTAGGATACTCTGTGCACCACCAACCAAGACCTGGAGGGCGGGAAGTTGGAGTCGCAGTGGTCTACAAGGATTTTATCCCCCTGATCAGGTGCCCCATCCCACAGTCATCTTCTTTTGAGTGTGCCAGCTTTAGGATAGGTGACCAGGACAGGATAGGGATTTTGTTAGTGTACCGACCACCCCGCTGCATGACAGTCTCCTTACCTGAGCTAGCAGGAGTGGTCTCGAACTTGGCGTTGAGCTCCCAACGGCTTTTAGTCTTGGGAGATTTCAACGTCCATGCCGAGACCTCTCTTTCAGGGGCGGCTCAGGACTTCATGGCTGCCATGGCAACCATGGGCCTGTCCCAATTAGTATCTGGCCCCACCCATAGTGCCGGACACACACTGGATTTGGTCTTCACGCAGGGATGGGAGGAAGGTGACGGGGTGGAGGAGCTGACCATCGCTCCATTGCCATGGACCGATCACCACCTGATTAGGTTTAGACTTACTGTGCCTCATAACCTCCGCAGGGGTGGTGGACCCATTAGAATGGTCCGCCCCAGGAGACTTGTGGATCCAAATGGCTTCTTGATGGCTCTTGGGGAGTTTCCCACCTCCTTGGCTAGCGATTCTGTCGTTGCTTTGGTCTCCCACTGGAACAGTGAGATGACTAGGGCAATTGATACAATCGCTCTGGAACGCCCCCTCTCGAGTAACCGAGCTAAACCTGCCCCTTGGTTTACTGAGGAGCTGGCAGCGATGAAGCGAAAGAAGAGGTGGCTAGAGCGCGTGTGGCGCCAGAGACCTACCAAATCAGCCCAAACACATCTGAAGGCCTTTCTAAGGTCCTACGATGTGGCAATAGCGGCGGCACAAAAATCATCTATTGCTGCCAATATTGCATCTGCGAAGAATCGTCCAGCTGAACTTTTCCGAGTTGTCAGGGGTCTGTTAAATCCGCCGAAAAGCGAGATCCCTGATGACTCGGTGGCTCGCTGTGAAGCTTTTGCTCGATTCTTTGCAGATAAAGTTGTGCTGATTCGGTCCGTTTTCGACGCCATATTAACAGCAGTCTCTGAGGATGTAACACGAGCATCTGCTTGTCCGGTTTTATTGGATTCATTTCAGTTGGTTCATCTTGAGCATGTGGACAGGATCCTTGGAGAAGTGAGACCTATCACATGCATCCTAGACCCCTGCCCATCCTGGCTGATAAAAGAAGCCAGAGGGGGTTTGGCAGAGTGGGTGAAGGTGGTGGTTAATGCCTCCTTACAGGAGGGTAGGTTTCCAGCGAGCTTAAAACAAGCTATCATAAAACCGCTGTTGAAAAAACCATCACTGGACCCCACTCAATTCGACAACTATCGGCCAGTTTCCAATCTCCCCTACTTGGGCAAAGTCATGGAACGTGTGGTGGCAACACAACTCCAGGGGATTTCTGGTAGACACTGATTATCTAGATCCGGCACAGTCTGGCTTTAGGCCGGGACATGGAACTGAGACAGCCTTGGTCGCCTTGGTAGATGATCTTCGCCGGGAACTGGACAGGGGGAGTGTGTCCCTGTTAGTTCTGCTGGACCTCTCAGCGGCCTTCGATACCGTCGACCACGGTATCCTTCTGGAACGCCTCATAGATATGGGACTTGGGGGTACTGCTCTGCAGTGGCTCCAGTCCTTTCTTGAGGGACGGTCCCAGAAGGTGTTACTGGGTGACACCTGTTTGGCCCCACAACCGTTATTGTATGGAGTCCCACAGGGTTCAATTCTGTCCCCGATGTTATTTAACATTTACATGAAGCCGCTGGGGGAGATCATCCGGAGTTTCGGAATGAGGTGTTATCTCTATGCAGATGATGTCCAAATCTGTCACTCCTTCCCACCTGTCACCAAGGAGGCTGTCCAGACCTTGAACCGGTGCTTAGCTGCTGTGTCGGACTGGATGAGAGCTAACAAATTGAAACTGAATCCAGACAAGACAGAGGTCCTACTGGTCAGTAGTAAGGCCGAACAGGGCATAAGGTTACAACCCATGTTAGACGGGGTTACACTCCCCCTGAAGACGCAGGTTCGCAGCTTGGGAGTGATCCTGGGTTCATCACTGAGCTTGGAACCCCAGGTCTCAGTGGTGGCCGGGAGAGCTTTTGCACAATTAAAACTTGTGCCCCAGTTACGCCCAGCGTACCTGTCCGAACGCATCTCCCTCTACGTCCCACCTTGGAGTTTGAGATCTTCTGGGAAGGCCCTGCTCTCGACCCCACCTCTATCACAAGTGAGATTGGTGGGGACGAGGAGCAGGGCCTTCTCAGTGGTGGCACCTCACCTGTGGAATTCACTCCCCGGGGAAATTAGGTCATCGACATCCCTCCTCTCTTTCAGAAGGAAATTAAAAACATGGTTGTGGGACCAGGCTTTCAGACAATCTGACGGTTAGATAAGGACAATGACGACCAGAATCAGTAGTACTTGACAATGTGGAATGGATTTACGGACTCTGAGATGGCGAACGCTGAACATTAGATTGTTTTTATTGATTTTGATGTATATACTGACTGTTTTAATTGTTATAATTGCTGTTTACATGTTTTACCCATTGTTATGTTTATGCTGGCATCGAATTGTGCCTTTGTAAGCCGCCCTGAGTCCCTCCTCGGGGGTTGAGAAGGGCGGGGTAGAAATGCCCGAAATAAATAAATAAATAAGAGAAAACCTTGGGTTGCATCTATGCTGTTGACCATATCCACTCTCACTGCCTTGGCTCAATGCTATGGAATCACAGGGGCTGTAGCTTTACAAGGTTTTGAGCCTTCTATGCCTAAGACTGCCGAAATAATAACAACAACAACTTTATTTTTGTACCCCGCGTCCATCTCCCTGGAGAGACTCCCCGGCTTAAATGGGGATGAGCCCAATCAACATACCATATATACTCAAGTATAAGCCAACATGAATATAAGCCGAGGCACCTAATTTTACCACAAAAAATGGGGAAATGTATTGACTTGAGTATAAGCCGAGGGTGGGCAATGCAGCAACTCCTGGTAAATTTCAAAATAAAAATAGATATTGATAAAATTAAATTAATTGAGGCATCAGTAGATTAAATGTTTTTGAGTATTTACATAAAACTGTAATTTAAGATAAGACTGCCCAGCTCTGATTAAACCATTATTCTAACCTTCCTCAGTGTAAATGTGCTTGCATATCCTTCCAATAATAATAGAGTAAAATAATAAATGGAATAACAGTAATAACAGAGTAAAATAAAAAATGGAATAAGAACAATAATAATAAGGTAAAACAATAAATGTAATAATAACAATAATAATATAGTAAAATAATAAATGTAATAATAATAGAGTAAAATGATAAGTATAAAATAAATATAATAATTATAATAATTATTATATTAGTCACGCATTATTCGCCAATACATCACACAGTCCTAGACACTTGGGAAGTGTCCGACGTGTGATCCAATACAACAGCCAGCAGAGTGATCTTGTTTGCTGTGGACTCATCTTGTTATGTTTTAAATAATAATAATCATCAGAGTAAAATAATAAATGTAATAATAATAACAGAGTAAAATAATAAATAACCTTGACTAGAGTATAAGCTGAGGGGGGCTTTTTCAGCTTAAAAAAACCTAGGCTTATACTCAAGTATATTCAGTAGTTAAATATAGCTCACTAAAATACATAAACAACAGCATATAAAACAACAGCATTGTAACAGAATATAAGAGCTACCATCGAACAAACAACCAATGAACCTGAAATGAACCTGGGCATGGGTGGGTGGACTTGTGCAAATCAATTTTGAGTATAGGGGTAATAAAGTGCTTAAGTCAGAGGGCAAAATTAGGGATGGAGGGCAATGTAAAATTGAGCATTATATCTTTGGGTAGAGAACAGTAGTAAAGTGTAAGGATGAGATTTTGGTTCTGATTCCTCACCAAGCTACAAATCCCAGGAGCTACATGGAGCCATGGCCATTAAATTAGAGATGATGTCCCTCAAATAGGAGCTCCAAGGACTTCTGGAGCAGCTTTCCCTTTTGTTTTTGCTCAACACTAAGACGATCCTATGATGCCAGTCAAATGTGCACCCTAATTTTGGCAATTTAGACCAAAAGGTAATCCCCCCCCCCCCCAAAAGGGTGAGCATTGGTTTTGGGTAAAGAGGATACTTCTTGAAATGTTAATCAAAATAATCATCAACCCAAAAACCTGAGTCATGCTATCCATGTAAGCACTGTAGCTTCATTCTGATCACAAATGGAATCATCCCTTTCTCTGAGTAGAGTGGCAAGATACAAGGGCCTAGTCCACCCCAGGAGAATCTAAAAGAAGCAAAGACCCCAGCATTGTGGTGCCACTTCTAGCCTTTTTGGATGCTTTGGTGGGAAAACTTTGCAGTGGAGACAACCATGGGGAGCTGCCCCCCTGAAATGGCACTGGTATTTTCTACTCTCCACAGAATGATCCTCAGTTTATCCATGAACCATATTAATATCCATAATTTTGACTCCAAAACCTGCTCTCGGCTTATACACTATGTCAACTTATACATGAGGTAGACTTATACATGACTATATACTTAAAAAAAACTTTCAGGAGGCTACGGGAGGATGTGAATTTATTTCAGTTTACAGTACCTGTGTTCCATCAGACTCCAGCCGTTATGCCCAGAAATAAACGTGTTAAATTCTCTGTAAGGGAGAGCGGTGTAACAGTTATGAGTGCCAGACAAGGAGCGAAGAAAACCAGTGTCAAATCCCCACTGAGCTAACAGCAACTTTGGTCCAGCCACTTTCTGTCTAAGCTGTTACGACAATAAAAGAGAAAAGGTTTTTTCTCCCCATTTGTTAGCTGCCCTGCAAGAGCTCATACTGAAAGCTACCATAAGAAAATTGCTTAAGATGTTATTTTCTCCAGCAAGGCACTTGTAGCAAATCACAAAGAGGCATGCATTAATAGCAGTCATTTTCTGGATCCTTTTATTCTTCCTAATCAGGTAAATACCACTGTCCAGTGCTCTTCACCGTGTTCACCAATAATTCCCACATTGTGACAATCAAGACGACAGGAAATGTGTTTGCTTATGAGGTGAGCTTCCTTTTCAATCTGATGGTTTGCTTTTTTTATTAGAAAAGAGTGTCATAAGGTTGCACTAGCAATATCCCGATACAAAAGTGCTCTCAGGTCCAAGCAATTTTGTTACTCTCTTCAGAACGCAAATGATGACTGCATCCTTCTAATACTGGTACTACACAGAGATGTGACGATTAGTCAGAAAACAAGAAAAAATAGGTTCCCCTCCCCCCTATTTCCCCCCAAAGTCTCTTTGTTAACAGGAAAAAAAGAATCCATGTGTTATTGAAGGCTTTCATGGCCATACAGCCTGCTGTGAGTTTTCCAGGCTGTATGGCCATGTTCCAGAAGCATTCTCTCCTGATGTTTCACCTCCATCTATAGCAGGCATCCTCAGAGGTTGATGGGTCTGTTGGAAATTAGACAAGTGAGGTTTATATACCTGTGGCATAATGTCCAGGGTGGGAAAAAGAACTCCTGTCTGAAGCAAGTGGGAATGTTGCAATTGGCCACCTTGATTAGCATTTAATGACCTTGCAGCTTCAAAGTCTGGCAGCTTCCTGCCTGGGGAAATCATTTGTTGGGAGGTGTTAGCTGGCCCTGATAGTTTCCTGTCAGGAATTCCCCTGTTTTTTTTAGTGTTCCTTTTTATTTACTGCCTAATTTTAGAATTTTTTAAATATTGGTAGCCAGATTTTGTTCATTTTCATGGTTTCTTCACTTATGTTGAAATTGTCCACATGCTTGTGGATTTCAATGGCTTCTCTGTGTAGTCTGACATGGTGGTTGTTCACATATTATGCTGTGAACAATTAAAGCCCTGGCAGACGGTGCAAAAAGAATCTGCGAAGCCCACCTCCTCCAAAGTGAACTGACCCACCTAAACTGGGCTCTACAGGCCAATGGAGACTGCACTACAGACATCAGAAGAGCTGAAAGACCAAGAACAAGCCACGAGAGTCAAGACAAAGATCCACCCAAAGGAAAAGTGTTCTTACCATACAGCAATTGAACCACTGACCGCATGGGGAACAAATAAAGGATTGGTTTTTAAGACACGAATCAAGGAACATGAAAGGCACTGCAGACTGATTCAACGAGAGAAGTCAGCCATAGCGGAGCACCTGATGAACCAACCTAGACACAGCATCTTATTGCAGAAGACAGAAATGCTGCACCACTCGAACAACCACCATGTCAGACTACACAGGGAAGCCATTGAAAACTACAAGCATGTGGACAATTTCAACAGAAAGGAGGAAACCATGAAAATGAACAAAATCTGGCTAGCAGTATTTAAAGAACTCTAAAATCAAGACAATAAATAAAGAAGAAAACTAAAACAAAACAGGGAAAATCCTGATAGGAAACAATCAGGGTCACGTAACACCTCCCAATAAAGGATTCCCCCAGGCAGGAAGCAGCCAGGCTTTGAAGCTGCAAGGCCATTCAATGCTAATCAAGGTGGCCAATTGCAACATTCCCACTTGCCTCAAACAGATAAGAGATCTTTGTCCGACCCTGGACATCATTCCACAAATAGATAAACCCCACTTGGCTAGTTTCCTACAAACCTCTCAAGCTCTGAGGATGCCTGTCATAGATGTGGGAGAAATGTCAGGAGAGAATGCTTCTGGAACATAGTCAGACAGCCCAGAAAACTTACAGCAATCCAAAGAATACATGCATTATGGAATATTTTCTTACCAAATATGACTGCATGTTTTTGGCTTTTTAAGGCGGTCGAACAACTGAATATAAAAACAAAGTCTTTCAAGGACCTGCTAACAGATGAGCCCTTTACTAGGCAAGATATTATTACACTACAGGTAAGACCTTTTGGAAAAGTCAATGTAGATGTATATTTAATTTTCCATAGCCTCACTTTCTAAATCTCCTTAATAGCATAGATGCTATATATATCATTGGACAAAGTTGGCAAGAAGCCATGGGGAGAACCGAAGGAAATGTCTAATTATATTCCTCCCATTCGTCCTCAACTTTAGGGGTTTTTTTTGGGTGAGAGTTATAATAAATTTTCAGTGGTTTCACCAGAAAAGGAACCTGCAGTGCAAGAAATCCCTTTGGGAGAGCGGGAAAATGTTTCCTCTCATCCAAGGAAACTAGTCCTCAGGTGGATACAAGTTTGGCAATGATAAATCTGCTGCAGTGGATCTGCACGTGTTATGCACGCATGGTCTCAGATCTTCCTCCATAAAAATTCTGTGATCCCATTTCTGTCCACATGCAGAAAAAAGCTGGAGTTATTTGCCATTTCACAGCATTCTCTTGAGGCTGATGATAAGAAGTTTATATCAGTTGAATATCTTTTCCGTATGCAAATTCCAAGGTCATGTTTCATGTCTAATGCCATTTAACCTCTGCACTGGCGGTGTGACTAACAGGCCAGGGATGAGCCAGCGTGGCCTTCCTCCTCCCAGCTGCTGCAGAGGCCATGCTGTGCAGACCGGCTGCCATGGCACCCAGAGCTGATGTTCCAGCTGGGCCCTGCAATGACATCTGGTTGCTCAGCAACATGGAGATGCCAGGAGAGGGAGATGCCAGTCGCTGTCCAGGGGTGGAAAATGGTCATAAAACCCACAAATGTGACTATGGGGCTGCAGATGGCGTGTGGTGGTGGATGACAACTGGCAAAGGGGCAGGAAACTTTACCTAGCTCCTTAACAATCTGCCCTGCAGGGAAAACCCAAAGGGGCAGAAGGCGAGAGGTGGGGAGACCGGCACCTGTTAGGGTAGCGAACGCTTTCCACGGGTGAGCTGAGACTGTTGAAGTGGGGGGAGTATCCTGAGCTGGCCATGGGATGGAGGCCTATCCATCCCATGGTTCACCAGCCTCACCTGCCCAGAAGAGCAGAGCAACAGGAGAGACTCACCAGACAGACCTCCAGGGTGAAGAAGGCCAGAGCTACCCTATTTGGAACGGCCCTGGGTTATGTTTTGGATGGTGTGATTTTAATAATTGATGTTTTAATTGTTCGATTTTAATTGCAATTTTTTATTTGATACATATATGTATGGCATCACATTGCTGCCTGTTGTAAGGCTGCCTTGAGTCCCATTTGGGTGAGAAAGGCAGGATACAAACATGGTAAATAAATAAGAAATATTTCACCAGATGTCCTCAGCTTTAACCAGAAAGCTATTTACTAGTATTTTAACTATGCACTACTTCCTGTTTCCACTTCCTTCCCAATGGATCTGTAGACTTTGTGAAAAGGACTCATGCAGACAAGATTACTTCTGTCTTTCTTCACACTCTTGTGTCCGCATGAGTCTTTTTTACGAAGTCTGTGGGCCCGTCATGCATGCAGCAGAAATTCGAAAAAAATACTCTTAGACAGCGTTTCTGGGGGGGGGTTAGGAGGGGGTGTCAGAAGGGTCGCCAAAGAACATCAGGAAACACAGTATTTTCTGTTGATCATGGGGGTTTTGTGTGAGAAGTTTGGCTCAATTCTATCGTTGGTGAGGTTCAGAATGCTCTTTGATTGTAGGTGAAGTATAAATCCCAGCAACAATAACTCCCAAATATCAAGGTCTATTTTCCCCAAACTCCACCAGTATTCACACTTGGGAATATTGAGTATTTGTGCCAAGTTTGGTCCATATCCGTCATTATTTGAGTCCACAGTGCTCTCTGGATCTAGGTGAACTAGAACTCCAAAATTCAAGGTCAGTGCCCACCAAACCCTTCCAGTATTTTCTGTTGACCATGGGAGTTCTGTGTGCCAAGTTTGGTTCAATACCATCAATGGTGGAGTTCAGAATGCTCTTTGATTGTAGGTGAACTATAAATCCCAGCAACTACAACTCCCAAATGACAAAATTAATCCCGCCAGCCCCACCAGTATTCAAATTTGAGTGTATCGGGTATTTGTGCCAAATTTCATCCAGTGAATTAAAATACATACCAGATATTTACATAACGATTCATAACTAGCAACATTACAGTTATGAAGTAGCAACAAAAATAATTTTATGATTGGGGAGTCACCACAACATCAGAAACTGTATTAAGGGGTCGCAGCATTAGGAAGGTTGAGAACCTCTGTCCTAAGAATATTCTTTTTTTCGAAATGGAAGCTTCAAAAACAGGGTGTGCCTCACATTCGATGACACCTTAGATTCAGTGTCATGCAATATTTGGCACCACACCAGGGCCCTTTTCTCACTCCATCCCGAGTTCTACCACTGTCCCTCTCTGCCTTCCTAGCTTGGGCAGGAAGCCTGCCTCTGTTGCTGCTCCCATTGAACTAGTTGCTCCTCCCAATCCATCTGTGGGGAACTGATCCAGCTGCTCCTTATTCAGCCGTTGGTCCTAACCCATGGAAAAAGTGCCACGGGCTCAGCATTCTGCCACTATTTCCTTTTCTGCCAGACACAGTCCTATGAAATTTACACCCCAAACTCTTCAGTTGAGTCTTGTTGTTGTTGTTGTTGTTGTTGTTGTTGTTATTATTATTATTATTTACCCACTCTGTTTCCTTGGGGGGACTTAAGTCTGGCAGGGTCCCAATCCTGACACAACAGTAACTTCCAGATACAAAAACTAAAGTGGTGTCAGACTGCATTCATTCTACAGTATAGATACATCCTTAGTCTACTTCAGGTGCCAGTTGATGAAAAGGGATTTTCTCCTTGCAGAAAACATTGTCGTTCCCCTCCTTCCTGAAGCAAAGGGAACAAAGAAAAATAATTAAAATGGTGTCGGGAGCTGGGAGGGGGGCTGAGTCAGCCAGTGGGCTGTCATTTGGATGCAGGCTCGGCTTGGTAAATGCCTCTTGGTTTTAATGCCAGCCATCAAACCAAAGAATTATTCACCAGCAAAAGCAAACAATTTCAGGGCTGAATGAAAGACATAATTATGTCATTTAATGAGAGACGGTGCAATTGGCTCTCTCTGGTAACTTGGTGGTGATGGACTATTGGAAGAGTCCTTATCAAAAGGCACAATGCCGCATTCAACTGGAGTTACATAATTTGCATGTGCATTGCCATATGAGACAGATGTCCCAGTGTTACGTTTGGACTTTGGGCAACTTTAATGTCCTTCCTACTGTACTGCTTTAGACTCCCACTCCTCCAAATGTCCAACCTCTCTTGCATTATTTTGAAAGCCTTTTGCTTCAAGTTTCATAATCATTGGAAAGATTGTGCCAGGGTGAAGAGAAGCTTTTGTAGAAAGGGTTATTGGAGAAAAATAAAAAATACATCAAGAGGGCTGTAAGTGGTTGGCTGACGTTGGATGTCAGGATGACTAATATCTACATCCTGTTTAGTTCATTTTTTCTCTTTCTTTGAAAGGATCCAACCAACTTGGACAAATTTAATGTCTCCAGTTTTTTCCATGTTAAAAACAACTTGAAAGTTACAGATCCAGGTAAGAGTGGTGTTAGGATGTAAAATCAAAACAGGCTCTCTAAGACAACTGTGTCAGTCAACTGTGGTCATTTTTATTTCCCACAATATATTGGGTTCGAGGACCAGGATGGTGTAGTGAACTGGTGGTTGGACTACAGCTGCATCTACACTGTAGAATGAATGCCATTTGAAACCACTTTAACTGCCATGGCTTAATGCTGTGAAATCCCCAGAGTTGTGGCTTTGCGAGGTCTTTAGCCTTCTCTGCCAAAAAGTGCTGGTGCTTCACCAAATGACGACTCGTAGGATTTTACAACATTGAGTCATGGAAGTTCAATTGGTGTCAAACTGCATTCATTCTACAGTGTAGATGCACCCTACAACTCTGGAGAAGTGGTTTCGAATCCCAGCTTGGCCATTGAAACATGTTGATGGTCTTGGGGAAGTCTCAGTCTCTCAGCCTCAGAGGAAGGCCATAGCAAGCCATGTGTCAGCAATGACTGGAAGGCACACAACAGTGATTCTGTTCTGCTCTAGCTGTTTGTTTAATTTACAGTGTCTGAATCCCACTCCATAACATTGTCCACTGGGTGACTTGGAAAATAAAAAATTAAAAAGCAATTAATAATAAAAATGTAAAACAACAGTTAACCATCAGCAGTGAGTAAAACTGTAAAATAAGAGAGGCTGGATTGCTAGAAGGATACAGTAGGGCTAAAGTTTGATGCACAGAATTTTAAAGCCTTGTGGTGGTCCCCCCCCCCCCATGCTTTTACATTGGATAAAATTTTAAAGGGTAATCAGAGAGGAATTTGGGAGTACTTACAAGTTTTAGCTCAGTAGCTAAAGTTATGCTGCATTGGCCTCTGCTTTCTAAAATAGTTTACTGCTGCAACATTCATTCACCAACTTATTTTCTTTTGAATTTGCATTGTAAAGTTGCACTAGGAAAAAATTGAATACCAATAATTAAACTAAAACAGAGGTGTCTATTTGAGAGTCTTGGCGAATTCTTTTAAGAGAAGACTAAACCCATAGCAACACAGATGGAGCAAAGGACTCTTACAAAAACCAAGGAGCAACAGCCACTGTGTAAAAAAAAATATATAGTTGGTCTTCTGTATCCACAGATCCTCTATCCATGAATTCAGTGGCCCTTTGAAGTCAACCCAAAAGCAGATATGGCCCTCGATGAAAATGAGTTCAACACCCCTGTATTAAATGTTTTGCAGATGAGGAGAAAGCAAAATCCGACCCATCCTACTACCTGAAGAATGCAAACGTAGAGACCCGAGAGACGCTCTCAGAGCTCTATAAGGAGTTCAAAGGAGATGAGGTTCTGGCCGCAACGATGCGGGGGCCTGAGAAAAAGAAAGTGGATAAACTGAATGCGGTGAGTGATGTTTACTGATTGGTAAAGGGAGCCATTTCAAAGGCTCTCTTCTTGATGTAGAAGACAGCTACTTCACATGCTGTAAGCATGCATGCCTCCTCTAACAGATCACCAAAAGGTTGTTCTTGCCCTCAAACATCAACTGTTGAGATGTTTGCCAGGTTGCTTTGTTTGGCTCATTTGTTTACTTGTGCACCATTTGCTTCCTACTCCACAGCTGTTGTGGCATAACATATATCACCCCTTTATTATTGTCCAACAGGCTCACTACTCCACTGGCAGGGTGAGCGCCTCTTTCACCTCAACAGCCATGGCCCCTGAGACGATGCACGAAGCAGGTATGCTCATTTCAGGCTGCTTCACTTTATCAATTTGATTTCAGTCTTCTCCCCAAACTTGGGGTGTCTCACAAGTAAAAAATAGAGAAAGGCATAATCTTAAAATTAAGTACATTGGTTTTCAATGCTATGAATCAGTTGCCAAGCACTTGTACAAAAGGATGTTTAGTTGCTGGGGTAAGTTGCTGGAGGCAAAACTTGGCCTCATGTGAACCGAGGAGCCCAGCATCATGAATCAGGACCAGGATGGAGACTTTAACCTTACTACTTGATTTCTGCCATATTTGGCATTATTCAGGTACAGTATTTAACCCCCTTCCTAGGTGATTTCAGTTACGGAGGCAGGGAAGAAGGGCTGAGCTCATTAGTTCTTTCTCTTACACCCCTGTAGATATCCACCTGTGGGAAAGGAAAGATGTAAAGCAATTAGGGGTCCCATGAAATTCAGAATTCTGGCCCTGCAGGCTTGTGCCTCTCTCCTTTGCAAGCTGGGTCTGCTAGGAGGAAATGTGATATCCAGTAGTTCTCTCAGCCTTTAGTCCTCCAGGTATTTTGGACTTCATCTCCCAGAAATCCCAGCCAGCTTACCTGCTGTTAGGAATTGTGGGAGCTGAATTCCAAAACACCTGGAAGATCAAAGGTTGAGAATCACTGGTCAGTTCTCAGAGATTTGGACAGTAGCATGCCATCTTGAGTCCACGCTTAGGCTCAGATCCCTGCAGCAAGGTAGAACCATCAACACAATGTTACATACGTCCATTCCCAGAAGCCCTAGCTGTGGTAAGGAGTTGTGAAGGGTCAAAGGTTCCCCTCCTCATGTGATCAGAAAGGTTTAATAACTTTACTCTGCAGGGGTGTAGTGGTCTGGGCGTTGGACCACAGCTCTGGAGTCCTGGGTTTGACTCCCCGTTCAGCCATGGAAACCCACTGGCTGACCTGGGGCAAGTCACACACAAACATCATCAGCAAAGCAGTGTTTAGCATGAAATGTAATCTCATTCCTTCCAAATTCAAACTGCACCACTAGGTCTTGAAAAACATGCTGAGGCAAAACAGTGCCTGAGGAAATAATGGTAGTAGTAATAGTAGTAGTAGTAGTAGTAGTAATATTTTTATTTATTAACTCCCTCTCCTTTTAGCTTGAGGCAGGGCACAACGTATTTGAATACATCGATAAAAACACATATTAAAACAGTTTAAATACATTCCATAAAAGCACCTATTAAAACATATTAAAATACACAACACAAAGTTGAAGACACAATAAACATAGAATGTGATTTATAAAATTCATAGTTCAAACTGACTGAATAGGCCTGGCAGAAGAGAGAGGTCTTCAGATGTGTTTTAAATTCCAAAAAGTCTGTTGTAGTTATTCCCTGCTTTAGGGTTTGCTTTTGGGGCATCTGGCTTATCACTGAATGCTGCATTAGATAAATCTTTGGTCTGAATCAACATGCAACAAAGAAAGCGTCGTCAGTCATAGGGTATCTTAAATGCATGCACTCAAACAAACCAACACAGATTGAATGTGTGCTAATATCCACATTTCCTTTTGCGGGTAGCTGCTATTGATGATGACGTGGTGCGCTACCAGTATGTGAAGAAGAAAGGCTATATTCGACTGCACACCAACAAGGGAGACTTGAACCTCGAGTTGCACTGTGACATGGTATGGTATGGTATGGTTATTATGTCTTACGTGTAATAATGATTTGGTTTCCTAGTGTTGGACCCCAGCCACAGTTCACCTTGCACTCAACACCAGCCAGGAATATGATAATAAAACAGTTTATTAAGAAAAGTACATATAAAAAGGAAAAATCACCATAAGAAATAGGAAAGGCAAAATCCAACAGGTAATGGGGAAAATATTCAATAAGTAATAAGTCAATCCAAACTGGCAATAGGGAAAAACACTCCAAAGGCAATAATCCAAACAGTTCAAATCTGTTCCACAAGGTGCAGGAAAAACCAGAATCAAAACATGAGCATGATTCAGGAAAACAAGAATCAAAACATGAACATGACTATAGAAACTTCTTAAAACATGAATCCAAACTCCCAAGATCTTAGACTCAAAACATGAACTGGAAACAAGGTTCGAGATCTTCACTGCTTTGCAGCATTGCCTGATCTGAATTTTAAAGGGAATACTTCTCTGATTAAGGACCATAAGCCATAAAGTCATTTCTGTGACCTTGGCTTCCTTGCAAGTGAGATTTTTCATGCTGCTGTTTCTCACTGAGTCTTTGCGACTTCCTTAGCTTGTTTGATTGCTCCCTAAGATCAAGCCTGACACGTCTGCTGAGCACAGGTGTGTTTTCAGGCAAGCTTTCTTGCCCATCCGATTCCTTATCGGATTGCTATGACACTGCTAGGCGAAAGGTCTCCACCAGCCACTGCATCTCCTTGTCTGCTGGATTCCAAAGTAGTTTCACTTTTAAGCCCATTCTCACAGATAGGATCTTGATGTAAAATCCCCTCAGTTCCCTCATTGAAAGAACCATCGACCACTCTCCCAGGTAGGTTCTGGAATACCAATCCCCTCATCTTCATCTGGCTGAACCACAACACCTATGATTTGCTCAGGTTCAGTGGGGTGTGATCCATAGAGGCTCGTGTCCTGTTTCAGAATCTAGCTTCACAAATATTATTCAGTTCTGAAATATATTTAAATACTAAATGTGTGTGTGTTTGAATAGATCTATTTTAGTTATACCTTGGCTTGCTCAAGGCGAGATTACAGGAATACAGCACAGACACAAAATAAGCTTGATAAAAATGTAATGTCCTATCTTAGGAGAAAATTGGGGTGTAACTTTAAGTAAATAAATAAAATAAACGTTAAAAGCTCATCTTTTCCAATCCAATCCAATAAGCCTTTATTGGCATATACTCATCTTTTTAAAATGCAATAATCTCCAAACTTGGATTTCACTATGATATTTCTCTATTTCATTGTGTGAAGAAATGTATGTTGTGAGCTGTTATAAGCAGAAGGGTTAATAAGCAGGGTGTAAAAGACTCCAGATGAATATGCATTTAGAAAGTTATAAAAATACTACACTGTTAAACTTAGGGGTTCCTTAAAAGGGGGAAAAAAAGGTGGGGGGAATGGTAGCAGCATGTTTAAAATGAACTGGTTTGTATTTTGACATACGCTTTTATAAACCCAGTTCTTCAGATGCAGTACTGAGTAGTATTAAGGCCTCATTTATAAAGCATATTGATATGGTCCCTTGCTCTAAATTTTCAAAGGGCTGGGCAAGGCAATACAGATATTTCAGGTCTTTCAATTTCTGTGCGCAGAAATATATCGTTCATTCAACTTTAGTATTGAGTTGTTGTCTACTTGTAAGCCGCTCTGAGTCCCCTTCAGGATGAGAGAGGGCAGGGTATAAATATAGTAAATAAATAGACAATAAATAAATAGTACCATTAAAGTCTGGAATCTGCTGGCCCAAGATATAATTATGACTTTCAACATTGACACTTTCAGAAGAAGATTGAAGAAATCCGTGAAACACAACCCTATTTCTTCTTTCCATCTGATTCCAAAAAAACTCTTTCCGTGTCGGACAAACTTGAATTATAGCATAAGACATCAATGGAAAGAGCTTGTTACTACCTCTGAGGATGCTTGCCATCGATGCAGGCGAAACTTCAGGAGAGAATGCCTCTAGACCATGGCCATATAGCCTGAAAAAACCTACAACAACCCAGAAAGAGCTTGTGTTTCTAGAGTGGGGAAACATGTGGACGGCATAGCAAATAGTGAGAAATCTTGGGAGTTATAGTCCATCCTCATCTTGAAAGGTCACATGTTCCTTATCCTTGTTGTAGTCCATTATTTGGTAGAAGAACGACAGCTATGTGGATTGCTAAAGGGTCTCCTTGAGGAGAGAGGAATGGGAGCAGAAACTTGGGTTGGAATACTTTCAACAGATCCCATTCTATGTGTCTTTGTTTTACATGAAAACGAGAGACAGGTGGTCAGAATTGGCAGGGATGGCATCAACATTTCGAGATTTGCTGGGGTGGTTCTTGGAAGCTTTGGCCAAGTGTTTACTTCTGACTTATTTTTCTCTCTATTAATTTGATAACACTTAATACCGAAGGATGAAAGTCTCGGGACACCGAGGCAGTTGTCCATTGGAGCAGCTCCAAAAGGAACAGACTGTGTTTTGAATCATTTATTTCGCTGGATATTATGCTGTGTGGTTTCTTTGGTCGGCAGCATCTCTGTCCTTTCAGTTTTTTGAATCTCCTTTCCAATTGGCTGCATATTAAGCATCCCTTGAAAGTGCTGACCTCTTGAAGGAGATGTGTCACCTTCTTGGGGGCCTGTTGGTAGTGAAATTGGAAACTGATGCCCAATTCGCTCACATGTGAGCCCTGTGCCATTGCCTTGTGCCTATTTTTTTTGGAAGGCATGAAATCTGGTCGGGTTTTAAGTGACATTTGTTGGCATGTGCTTGTGATGTTTCCTTGAGCCAAGAGGTTGATGGCTGTCTTTTCAGAGGTTTGTGGGTGGAACATAGAGGAGACAAAAAGCAGACATAAGTAATGAGTTGTCCCTCGAGTGTGGCGGATTGGAACTTTTCTACCCTTTCTTGTATTCATAGTTTCTGTATCTGCTTTCAAGGTTGTTTTGGGTGCTCTCTGTTCTTAGCTGGTCTGGTTTTGGGGGATAGTAGACATACAGTCCACCATCGAGACCATAGTTGGAAGTCTTACATGGGTTTCTCAAAAACAAGTCATGCGAGGCTAATCTTATCTCTTTATTTGATAGAGTTACAAGTGAATGGTAGATGCAGGGAATGCTGTGGATGTAGTATATCTTGATTTCAGTAAGGCCTTCGACAAGGTCCCCCATGATCCTCTCACAAAAAAAGTGAGTAAAGTGTTGGCTAGATAATAATACTGTGAGGTGGATTTGTAATTGGTTAAGTGACCAAACCCACAAGGTGCTCACCAATGGTTCCTCTTCATAATCCATTAATATGGGGAAATGGTTTCAGAGTGCACTTTTGTCTGGAGTAAGAGAACTCTTTCATGATGCTGTGCCTCACTATATGCTAAACCCATTGCTGTAATAGGCTTAGCATGTTCTTTCTCCCACCCTTGACATTCCACAGATATATAAACCTCACTTGCCTAGTTTCCAACAGACCTCACAACCTCTGAGGATGTCTGTCATATATGTGGGCAAAACATCAGGAGATAATGCTTCTGGAACATGGCCATACAGCCTGGAAAATTCGCAGCAACCCAGTGATTCCAGCCATATTTATTTATTTTGTCAGAATTGAGTTGAGGGTACAGTTAAAATGCATTTAAAAATACAAAGCTTTCAAAAAGAACTTGGCATTATGCTAAATGTCCTTTGACCAGAAACTGGCCACTTGGAGTGTCTCTGGACCCATCCTCTGTTCAGATATCAGCCAGCATGCCAATGCCTTAAATCAAGAAACAGCTTCCTAAGATCTACAGAGATAATCGTAGAAACACCTCAGCAAGCAAGAGTTCAAAAGTGGCGGGCAAAAACCCAGCACCTCAATCTATGGCTGAGACGAAATGAGAAACTCTCTCCTGGGCACACAGAAGAGTGGACGACCTGGAAGGCGCTGAACAGGCTACGCTCTGGCACCACAAGATGCAGAGCTAACCTTAAGAAATGGGGCTACAAAGTGAAGTCCACAACGTGTGAGGGCGGAGAAGAGCAAACCACAGACCACCTACTACAATGCAACCTGAGCCCTTCCACATGCACAATGGAGAACCTTCTCACAGTGACACCAGAGGCATTCCAGCCATGAAAGCCTTTGACAGCAGATTGCTGTAATGACTTTGTACTTTGCCATGTTCCAGTTAAAGACATGCCAGCCATGGCTGTTCCAATTATGGCCCTGATTAGAAGCCAGAATAATGAACTAGGTCTTGGATAAGCCAAATAATGGGGAAAACACTATATTTCAGGGTAGCTCTGTGAATGATTTATGTATGCGAAAGTGAGAATAAGGATTTGGTAAAGGAAAATTTTATGGTGCCCATGTTGTATGGCACAAGACTCAAAAAAACTAAAAACCTGAGAAATAGAGAATCTGACAATAAAGAATTGGTTAAACAGGGTATGGGTGATGGCTGTGTTGGAAAAGTTAACCTACAAATTAAAGTGAGCAAAAGAAGAATTGAAAGATCAATTTGATAGCACTTGGAAAATCATCTCTTCGCATCACATGTAGAAGCAATGGCAAATTCGAAGAAATATTATAGTTGAACAATTAAAGAACACGTTATAATAATTATATGTAACAGATAAAATTAGAATGATATTGAAGTAATGGAATTGAGAGTGCTGTGTTTTTGTAATCCTATGTGAGCAGTTGAAGGGTTGAGGGGGGTATAGATCTGGGAACAGAAGATATGATAAAACAGTTTTCTTATGTATCCTTTTAATGTTTTGGGATTTAATTTTTTAAATAAAATTACAATAGTTAAAAGAGAGAGAGAAGACCAAGGGCCCAGGCCATGGAGACGATGATCCTACAACAAAGCCCAGTGAGATCTGATGAACCAGGAGTCCCCTGAGACAGATCCTGTGTTTACAGGCTCACATCTTTCTCTCTTGAGGATGATTCCATGCTTCCAGCTTTGTATCAACTGCAC